GCGAACCCTGTTCCTTCACAAAAGCGACACATTCATCGCAAATGCGAACCTAGCACAACCCAAGTCATCTTCACGATTGCGACCCAGGCATCGCAATTGCGATACATTTGATCCCCCTGCTAAGGTCGCAATTGCAACCCTGATGTTCACAAATGCGACACCAGAGGCATCAACACACCAGATTTCTGTTTTCAGTCCAAAACATTCTGAAACACGTCTGAAATTCATCCGAGCCCTTGGGTCTCCAAAACAAACATCCAGACAAGTCTAAAAATATTATACGAACTCGCTCGTGCAATCAAAACACAAAAATAACATCTAGAACTACGAATTGGATACCAAACTGCATGCATTTTAAAGTAAAGTTCAAGAACTTGTAGAATTACAACTAAGCGTCTGAATCATATCAAATCAACTCCAAATGATATCAAATTTTGTATACAAGTTATAAATAGCACAACGGACTAATTCCAAGTCCCAAAACTAAATTTTGAACCCGATAGACAAAAGCTACGGTCAAATTTCTAAACCTCAAATTGTAAATTTTTGGCAAAACAACACAAGTCAACCTACGAAGTTCCAAATTCGATTCCGGGCATACGCCCAAGTCCAAAATTACGATACGAAACTATTGGAACCATCAAAATACCATTACGGGGTCATTTTTACAAAAGTCAAAGTTTGATCAACATAATCAACTTTGGCTTTTAAGCCAAGGATCAAAGTGTCCAATTCAACCCGAAATCTTTCCGAAACGAAACTAATCAACCTCATAGGTCATAAACCATAAACACACATGCGTGAAATATCAAAAGAGAAAATAGGGTATAAATACACAAAATGACCGGTCGGATCATTACACTGTTAAACACACAAAGTTGATCAGTAAATAAAATATGATGCGTGTATTTCACACGCATTGACGTGAAAAAAATTATCAAATGAAAATAAGCCATATGGATTTTGACTTTAATAAAACTTAAAAAAACTTTTTAGTAAAAAAGAAAAAGAAAAAATCTATTTAAAAGAGAAAAAAAATCCCTGCCAACCCCTCTACAGTCGTCGGCGCGTGGCAAGCCCTTTTACGGTCGCACCAAATCCCCCTCCCCGTCCTCCCTTTCTTCTTCATTTTTTCAAAAACCCATTTCTTCTTCCTCCTACCTTTCCTTTCTTCTTCTATTTTCAGAAAATAACTTTCTTCCCCCCCCCCTCCCCTCACACTCTCACTCCCTTTAAAGGAATTTGGTAGTGATTTAAGGAGGAGATCCGATGTGCGCTAATGGTGGTAATTTAAAGAGAAGAAAAAATGGACGATGGATAGAGGTATTGTGATTTCATTAATTGACGACTGAATTTTTTGTGGTGGCAGCGGTAACAAAGTAGTAGTGTTTATGGTATTTCTGAAAATAGAATGCTGGCTAGAAGTATTTTGTGGTGGTTGGGTTTTTGTGATGGTTGAATTTTGTTGGTGGCTAAATTTTTTGTAGTGGTGGCTATGGCGGAGCAATGGTGGAGCAGTGATTTCTGAAAAATTAGCTTTTCCAAAAAATAAAATAAAAGAAAAAAATGAGAATTTTGAATTTCTCAAGCGCCTAGAATTAGTGAGAAATAGGTTTTTTTTCCATGTTAGCTTGTTGTGCTTAATAGGTACATATTCAATAAAGTTAGAGTATCTAATAGGAACAAGCCTCAGTTGAAGTATCTAGTTGAAAATATTGGACAAGTTTAAGTAGCCGCCTATGTATTTCGCCTAAAATATATATCAACATCTCCATCTCTAAGGATGTACGCATATGTTCAAGAAAATAACAAATAATTTACATAATCATGTAACAAATATTTGTAATATTTTATGGATACAATATAGTAATTTATTTGAATTCTAAGCAAGTTTCAATGATACCATTGTCACTATTACATTATAGTTTTTCGGGATAATTTCAGAGATCTTCCTCCAAGTTTCACTATAATACCACACTAACCTCCGTCTAGTTTACGATATTATGCTTACTTTCCTTATGTTGATTTTCTTGTAACAATTCTTTTATTTTATTTTAAAAAATATGATATGACTGATTTGTCCTCTCATATAATCTTTTGTTTAAGAATTTTGAAAATGCTTATTTTTTGTTGTTGCAATTCTTTTAGAACAACCATGAAATCTGGGAATAGTAATAATATGCAATCTTCACGTTGTGCTGACGAAGAGTATGATTCCGTGGGGAGTCGATGCATATTACTTGCTTCAACCCTTCTGCCCATTTTGACTCGATCTTATCAAATTAGCTTCCTCCATCTTTCTCTCGCCAATCCACTTTCTTTATTCAATCTCTCTTGCAAAATTAATATGTACTCTAATTCTCCTTAATTTTTTAGTACAAAAATGATTTTATTTGGCCTCCACATCTAAGATCTGACCCAAATATGAGCAACTTTGATAGTCTAACTAACTGAATAATGGCTCCATCAGTAGATAGAACCCACAATAGAAAAGGTTATTTTAACATTAAAGTTTTTTTTTTTGCAAATGTAATTTGATAAAAGAATATATCAAGAATGGCAAATTGGTCATGTTATGATTTTAAAAATTAACAATAAATAGGTTAAACGAATGCTTATTAGAAAATTAAAATAAGGGAGGAAGCGCAGTATCATAAACCATGTGAGATATTAATATGATGAAGCGAGATTTTAAGAAAGGTTAAAGATGAATTATTTACATTTACAACAAAAAATAACAACAAACCCAGTGCTTTCTCACAAGTGGAGTTTGGGGAGGGTAAGATATATGCAGCTTTATCCCTACCCTGGAAGGATAGAGAGGTTGTTTGCGATAGACCCTCTGTTGGAGAAAGGATGAAAAATAGTAACAGCAACAAATAGGAACAACAACAAGAAATAAGACCGAAGCCAAGAAAGCAATTAAACTCTAGGTAGCAATAGCAATCTATAAATAAAAGTATATCATACTAACACTAATACTAACGAATTGAGTAAGACAAAGGGTAACACTCGACTGCTTACTAACCTTCTATCCCAATCTTCGACATCCATACCCTTATATCAAGGGTCATGTCCTCAATCAGCTCCAGTTGCACCATGTCTCGCCTAATCACGTCTCCCCAAGACTTCTTAGGCCTACCTCTACCCTTCCTGATACCTACCACAACTAACCTCTCGCACCTTCTAACTGGGGCTTCTATGATTCTCCTCTTAACATGCCCGAACTATCTCAACTTCGTCTCCCGCATCTTATCCTCCACAGGGGCCACTCCCACCTTATCTCTAACTTCATTCCTAATCTTAACTAACATGGTAGGCCCACGCATCCACCTTAATATCCTCATTTCAACTACTTTCATCTTTTGGATATGATAGTTCTTGACCGGCCAACACTCTGCTACATACAACATAAGTTGGTGTAACTACTACCTTGTAGAACATACCTTAAGTTTTATTGGCATATTCTTAAAGCACAAGACACCGAAAACGAGCCTCCACTTCATCCATCTTGCTTTGATATGATGCGTGACATCCTCATCAATCTTCCCGTTACCTAGTATTATAGATTCAAGTTACTTAAAACTTTCTTTCCTGGGGATGAAATGTGTATCAAGCCTCACACTCATGTTCGCTTCATGTGTAACTTCGTTGAACTTGCACTCTAAGTACATCGTCTTGGTCCTGCTCAGCTCAAAACCTTTAGACTCAAGAATCTATCTCTAAACCTCCATCCTGTTGTCAACACCTCCTCGTGTCTCGTCAACCAGAACTACATCATCCGCATATAACATACACCACGACACCTCCCCTTATATGTGTCGCGTCAATGCGTCCATGCCAAGGAAAACAAAAATGGGCTAAGGGCTAATCCCTGATGCAACCCCATCATAACCGGGAAGTGGTCTGAGTCTCCTCCCGCTGTTATTTCCCGTGTCTTAGCTCTATCATATATGTCCTTAATCACTCTAATGTAGGCTACATGCACACCTTTAGCCTCTAAACACCTCCATAGAACCTCTCTAGGGACTTTATCGTATGCTTTCTCCAGGTCAATGAACACCATATGCAAATCCTTCTTCATTGTCCTATATTGCTCCACCAATCTCTTCACTAGAAGGATGGCTTCCGTTGTCGAACGACTCGGCATGAAACCGAACTAGTTCTTGAAAATAGACACACTCCTCCTCACCCTCCCTTCCACCACCCTCTCCAAACTTTCATCGTATGACTTAGCAGCTTGATACCCTATAGTTATAGTAATTTTGGATATCACCCTTGTTCTTGTACAACAAAATCATCGTACTCCCACCTCCATTCTTCAGGCATCCTCTTCGTCCTAAAAATGACGTTGAACAACATAGAGAGTCATTCCAAGCGTGCCTTACCCGTGCTCTTCCGGAATTTTATCGAAATTCGTCTGGCCCGGTCGCTCTACCCCTGCTCATCCTACGCATCGCTCCCTCGACCTCTCCCACTTTTATGCACCTACAATACCCAAAGTCCCGATGACTCCTAGAGTGCTCCAAATTACCCAGCACAAATATTAAAAAATAAACAATCTTAATTATTTATTGTTCATATCTAAATACATTAATATTTAGATGTATATTCAGATTTCTTTGTCTTACAAATAAGCTATTAGTCACTTCCAACAAATAAGACAACTTTTAATTTTTTTTGAAAGAAAAGCGTTTTTTAATGAAGTAACGCTCAAAAGAGAAAAGGCCTCTTTTCAACTTAGCCGTGGCTACTCTGCCAACGCATTTATGAATTCAAAATAATTAGGTAGAACTTATGCTACAGCGTTAGTCAAATAAACCGTTAGAAATTGTTCCCCTAGTTAAAAACAAAAGGGCCAAAAAAAAGGGTCCTCGTATTGTTTACTATTATTACCAAATAATAAGACAACAGAATGTCAGAAATACCCTTTTTGAACAAAAAATATATTTTCATTTCCTCCAAATCGTATTTTCATTCCATTTTTTGTTCAAAACTTGAAACCTCCCGCCCACTCGTACACACTCTTCTATCCACTTTCTTCAGTTCCTCACAAATCTCACCATTTTCAAATTTTCAGTAAATCCCTCTTGAACTTCACACATTAATTATCCAAATCACCTTTCTTCACTAAATCTCTCAATCTATCAGAGACAATAAACTGTACTGATACTTTCTATTTCAGATTCAAAAAAAAGAAGAAACCCTAGCTGTAATTTTTCCGAGCAAGTGAAATTATGAATCAGTACCATATATACGAAGCTATAGGCCGTGGAAAGCACTCGGTAATGGTTTTTTTTTTTTCTTTTTCTTTTCGTTTTCTGTAAATTTGTTAATCTAAACGATTGATGTTTTTTCTTTTTGCAGACTGTTTATAAAGGAAGAAAAAAGAAGACTATCGAGTATTTTGCAGTTAAGAGCGTGGATAAATCTCAGAAGAACAAAGTTCTTCATGAAGTAAGAAATCATCTAATTGTAATTTTGAGGCTTAATTTCATGTGGAAGTTACATGTCAAAGTAAAGTTTTATCATTTGAATTTTGGATCTGATTCACCTCTAATGATAAAGTTGTGTACATTTTTGGATTTATTTATTTATATTTTGATAATGGTGGTGTCTAGGCTAGTTTTTGTGTGTGTGCTATCTCCCACTAGCATAAGTGAAAACTCCGTCCACCGATCTTCGGTAAATGAAAAGACTTCACTTAGCGTTTCTGCTAAATTTTGAAGCTTGGTTCGCAAGTTGTTACTTGAGCTATCCGACCACTAGACACCCTTTGAGGGTGGACAGTGGCGGAGCTAAGTGGAGGAAAGGGGTTCTATTGAATCTCCTTCATTGAAAATTATACTGTACAAATAGGGAAAGACGAACTCTTTTTTGGTTACATATTAGCTGTTGAATCCCCTTGATATAAGGGAAAAGTTTAATGAAGTGGCAAAAAGGTTTCAAAAATTGCTTTAGATCACATGTTCAAACCCAGCTAACATTCTGTTATTCTTTTTAATTCCCTTGTATAAATTTCTGGCTCCAAGGACGGTGGATATTTTTCATCTAATTGGGAACTTAGCTGCAGAATTTATCTGCTACCCAGTGCCTGACTTAGAAAACTTAAAAACTTGATAATGTTGATATTTATTTCTAGTCAACTTCTTTGAGAGGAATAGGCAAAAGGGAAAAATATTAGTATGGAGTATTAGGTATTCGTAGAGTACTTATTAATTGAACCCTCCTCGCTATAGAATTTATTAACTGCCTGCTGGCTGAATACAGCAATGACACGATGTTGTGTAAGTTATGCATTGACTTGCTGTAAAATTCAATTGGTGCCTGCTAAATTACTGTTGCTTGATCTACTCAATTATTCTGACATTATCTCTAGTTCTGACAAATCTTCAAAAGCATCTGAACAACTTTACAAGCTAAATGTCTATGCTTTTAGTAAGCATGATCTTAGAAAAGCAACTTGCCTCATCATATTAATAAATGTTAAGAATTGCTGATGCTTGTGACTATTTAGTTGTGAGATTGTTGGAAATGATAAGGTAGAGTTGTGACAGTGTTTTTATTCCGTGTCATAAATTTGAAGTCTCATGACCAAATTATCAAGAAGCACAACTTTTTTTTAATCTATTTCCTATCAGTATCTTTTATGCATGTATTAATTCTTCTGTTGGCTGCAATTGCTGCAGGTCAGAATTCTTCATTCTCTAGATCATGCAAATGTGTTGAAGTTCTACTCCTGGTAAGATTTATCTTTTCTCTGTCTTGCATATAACTCTTTTCTTTTTCTTCAATTTCATTTGTGGGGTGGATAAGGTTCTTTTGGTGTTTAATAAGAAGATTTCTCTGACTTATTTTCTAATTCAAACGATCCATAGGTATGAAACGTCTGCGCACCTGTGGTTGGTTTTAGAATATTGTGTTGGAGGAAATCTCATGAACTTGCTAGAGCAGGTAAAGGACTGGCAGTTTTGTTATATTTTGTAAATAATTTCATTGTTCCAGTGATATAACTGCTTACCAAGTTAGGTCTGCGTTGCAAGTATTGGCATATAGGATGCCTCATGCAGACATTAGACATGAACTTTAACACTCTGACTCTTCTTTGTCTCGTTTTCGATAGAGGCATGGGGGATTAGGTTTCTGGGTAAGTTTGTTGCATGCCTACAGTTGGGACTTCCAAAACAGGCACTAAGGACATTGGAATCATGTGCAACGGAACACTTCAATTTAGATGATTGTTTGTAGTATCGCAAATAAAGTTGGTCAGACTTCTGACTAACTTGTTTCTTGTGCTCAGCTAAGTGAGGTGAAAGAAGTAGGATGTTCTTTTTTGATTTTATTTAAAGAGTAGCCAAGATGACCTCAGGTGTACTTAAGTTGGTAATGATTCTTAATGTAGCAAAGTACACTAGCATATGTCACATCTACAGATCTACTTCATCTAAACTGTATTGCAGTATTTGCCAAACCTGGGAGATTTTAACATCATATGATTTCTGAGTTGCAGGATGGTAAGCTTCCGGAAGATTCACTACATGATCTTGCTTGTGGCCTTGTTAGAGCTCTTCTGTAAGTAATCTTTTTGCCTTCATTTTTTCTTTTATCACGCTTACTGTTTTGGGCATGAATAACTTTTTTGATGTTTTGTCTAATATACCAGATACTTACATTCAAAGGGAATAATTTACTGTGACTTAAAACCATCAAACATTCTATTGGATGAAAATGGAATCACGAAGGTGTGCTGATCTTTATGTTGTGACCTTTTCACATCTTGATTAGTGCATTTGATCAATTAAATGACGTTGAAATTTAAATTTGTTTCCTGGCAGCTGTGTGATTTTGGATTAGCAAGAAAATTGAGTGATATATCAAAGACACCTTCTTCCCAGGTAGTTCCCCTCTCTGTTCCCTCCTTTTTGCCCAAAATGAAAAAAAAAAAACAGAAAAGCAAATTGGTGACATAACTGTTCGGAAGTTCCTTAAAGGTAAATGCCTGAATGTGGCACAAGTCAATTTTCTTTTTTAATTTTATAACGGTAGTATCCGAATCAACACCTTGACATTCCACTGGGTACCCGCTATCTCCCACCAGCATAGGTAACTCTACTTATCAAGGCTTGGGCACATGAGAAGAGATCATCTAGTGTTTTTGTCTATGTTGGGATTTGAGCCATAATGTCCAAGGTTTGCGCCTACTTCATTGACAACTAAGCCACACGCTTGAGTGTTGGTGCACATGTCAATTCATATAGCAGCTTTTACATTTGTACATGTGGCTTATATGCATCTAGAGGAATTCCAAAGTTTTTGTGACATCATTTGCAAAATTATTGGTTCTTACATTGGGAACTTTCTTATTCATCTTATTTATCTATTTGAGGGAGTAACTATCTGAGGCTGTTCTTTGAAGTTAGGGAGCTGAAACAGAAAACATAACATGAAGCCAAACGAAATGGATTTTATTCTTTTGATGCAGGAAGAAAGTGCGGGGAAACTTAACGGAACATGATTTCTATTGTTTGGACTCCAAAAAGAAGCAAAAAGAAACATTTTGGATGAGCTAACTTCTTGCCATTTCTGTAGAAATTCTCTGAAAGTTTCTTTATAGGTCTTTCTCGAGAAATTTTGAAGTCGAGAAGACACAAGTTTTCTAAAGAATCTTACAATTAGGCATTTAGCTAACTCCTTCCCTTTTATTTGATTTTACTTTCTTCTTTCACAAGCTAATCATGGAAAATGTTTCTAATCTTTCCCTTTTTCTTTTTCCAATAACCAAATAGAAAAAAAATCTTTTGAAGTGGGGCTTATTGCTCTTGATTGTGATTTATGTCATGTATGTTTCAGTTGCCACAAATAAAGCGAGGAACCCCCTGTTACATGGCTCCAGAGCTCTTTCAGGATGGAGGGGTCCATTCCTATGCCTCTGATTTCTGGGCTCTTGGTTGTGTGTTGTTTGAATGCTATGCTGGGATACCTCCTTTTGTTGGCAAAGAGTTTACCCAGTTAGTGAGATCAATCATTTCTGATCCAACTCCAGAACTTCCTGGCACACCAAGCCGCCCCTTTATCAATCTGATTAACTCTCTTCTAATAAAAGATCCTGCTGAAAGAATGCAGTGGCCCGAGCTAACTGGACATGCTATCTGGAAAACAAGATTTTCTGCAGTGCCTTTACCTCCTCAGCCTGCTTTTGATAATATGATAGAAGTTTCTTCTAGATTATGCCTTTCAGAACGGAACAGTGACAAACCAATTCAAAACAAGACACCACAAAAGACTCGTGAAAAAGATTCAAAGGCATCCCTCAGGCAGGATGAAAATTCAAATACTGGATCTAGAGGTCACGTGACACCAATCAAGGGCATATCCAGTGGCCGGAAAGCTCAAATGAAGGGTTCTGGCAGGACAGTTGATGACAAGCAGAAAGACATCTCAAGCAATACTAAGGGTGTCAATCTATTACGTCTTTCAAGAATTGCAAAATCAAACTTAATGAGGGAAAATGAGAAGGAGAACTACCGCAGGCCATTGCCTAATAACTCTGAGAATGATGCTGAACTTAAGGTTGAAAATACTGACATGGAACTTGATTTTAATGAGAATAATGAGGATGATACACAAGATGAAGCTGATGAAACTGACAGCACTCAATGTCCCGAGTCAACTACTTCAACTCCAAATCAGGCCGAGGGTCATGTGGAAGAGATGGATATTGACAGCAGACATCCAGATCCATCAGCTATGGTTAATACACCTTTCTCAGATGATTCAAGGACATCTGACCATGAACCGACTTCTGAATACGAAGTGGCTGCTATGCTACCAAGTGATAGCCCTCAGCTAAAGACTCCTGCGATTAAAGGAAATCCCGGGAATGTCTCTGATATCTCAAAACCATCTAAGAACCTTTCAGATATTCTCTGGCATCCTTCTGATCTTTCAGTTAGACCCGTAATGCCTAGCAAAAAATCTGATAAAGGTTCAGATGCAATTCCTTCACTTTCATTCGATGCACCTCAGGTATCTGATTTTGTCAAAATGTCAAAGGAGCAATTAGACACTTTTAGTAGTAGGATCATCAGTATTGTTAGTGGGAATACTGCCTCTGGGGAGAAGCAGAATGTGATCAGGTACCTTGAGCTTTTGACCAGCAATGCTGAGGCAGCCAACATCTTGACCAATGGACCTATTATGTTGGTTCTAGTCAAAATG